AGGTGCCTTTGGGAGACTGAGCTGGAGCTGGAGCCGGAGCCGGAGCTGGAGCCGGAGCCGGAGCTGTAGCTGCAGCCTTGGTCTGAGCCTTGTCCTTGGCCTTTGGCCGACAGAGTCTGAGACCCTTGGCAATGCGGGCACGAGCACGTTTCCCGAGCTTGGGGTGAGCAATGTAGGCAAGTCGACTGAGCTTGCAGCTGCTGCCCTTTGGAATCTTGGGCTTGACCTCCTTGGGCTTTACGAGAGCCTTGATAGCCTCAGCACGTGCACTCATGGCCTTGGCATTGTTGGCCTGCATCTTCTTCAGGCCCTTCTTGTTGTGCTTCTTGGCAAAGCGCATGTTCCTCAGGAACTTGGGGTCTACCCTCTTAAGAGATTCGTATCGTTGTGATCGGGGTTTTTTGATGCCGTTTCTGTGCCATTTTCGGGACTGGTTGTGTGTGGTGTGGTTCTTCGACTTGGCCATGCCTGTACCGGAGCCGGGAGATCCCGAATCGTGTGGGACCGGAAGAGAAAGAGGAAGACCTCTCTGTCCCTTCTGCTTAGTCACTGGCCTTTTTGAAATTCCTTAAATACCGCATGCAGGCATGTTCCTGCCTCAGGGCCTTTGCACTTGCTACCTTGCCCGTGTTGCCCCAGACATCTTCCAGGCTTAGTTCTTTCTTCTTTTCAGACTACTTCTTTTCAGATTCCTAAGGCTTTCCCATTTAAAACAAATCCCTGCTTATTTTTTCCTTTTCTATTATCACCTTCAAACGTAGTGTATTTACTCACCTTGTTTATTGTTTATATCCCCTGCAGGGATTTAAGCTCTGTGAGGGTAAGAGTGTTTGGGAAAATTGTCTGGGAGGTGCCAACGGAGGGGATCTCCTCCCACAAGCCATGTTTAATTAGGAGAGTGACAGAGGGGTCACCAGCGACGTGATCTCTTGTGTGAGAAGCAGCAACCTGAGACGTACCGCAAGCAGAAGACCCAGGCGCTGGATTTTACTTATTTATTTAGCCTGCATTCCTTGTGCACCTGCACGTTTTATCAGGAGCCCTGCCTGCCTCCAGCCATGGAATGTGAACCTTCCCTTAACCTTTCCTTAACTGGAGTAAGGAGAATGAATACCAATGTCCAGGGTAGGAGAAAAGTTACTTGGCAACTTTGTAGTAAATGAGTGAGGGTGTTCTGTAGTGGCGATGAGGTGGCTGACCAAAGGCGAAAGCTGTGTTTTGAATAAAACCGAAAGCAGGAAATGTTCTGGTAGAATAGATTTTTTTCCCTATACATATGTAGCCTTCTCTAGCATAAACTGAATTTTAAATTTAAAGAAAAAAATTTTTCCTATGAATGAACACATTATGCAAATCCATTTTTCCTACTCCGAGGCAGAATATAATTTTAAAAAAACCTCAAAGATAAGGGGCAGTTTTGAGGACCACAATTCTCACTGTACTCTAAAATTATACTCCCCTGAAAATACTGTTCTCTTCAGACCATAATTTATACCTTCAGTCTATTTCATGTTACTAACTAGAGTAATCTTACTCATCTTTGTATTGTGGAGGAACACAAATATTTATTCAATGAATGGATGAGGAAATTATTTACCTCGACAGTTCTTAAAAACTGATATTTTGTGTATAGCCGCTAACTTAGAACTTCTTATACGTCTTTTTTTTTCTTAAACTTCTTTGAATAAAGTTCTATAGATTACCTACAATTTTTGTTTACCTCAGCATCCAAGGCCTGCTAAATGCTATAAGATTTGGCTGGTGACACCTGGTGGTTAAAAATGATAATTACAAGCTCACAGCGGGGGGGGGGGGAATGTGACAATGAATATATGTATATCCATGTATAACTGAAAAATTGTGCTCTACACTGGAATTTGACACAACATTGTAAAATGACTATAACTCAATCAAAAATGTTAAAAAATAAATAAAACATAAAAAACAGATAATTACATACAACATGCTGCACACAGTGATCAGCTTTCCAGGAGGAAATATTCACAAGCCACAGATTCTATGCAAAGAATTTCCATCAGTTAGAGTTGCTGGTTGTAAGCAACCAAGTGAAACCTTTGACCTGAGCAGAAAAGTACTGTTCCATGAGGACAATGCTGCAACTTAACATTAACACCATGGATATCAGAATCTGGATGCCCGTATATGCACTGCCATTCCCGGACACTGGAATTTCTGTTAGCAGTGACGCCACCACCTTTCAGCCCTTTTGATCCCCAAGATCTTAATTCAGAGTCTAAAGTAGGATGCACCTAATTGGCCTGGCCACGGTCCAGCACCCTAGGAAGGCTGGGAAAGTGTCTAGACATTCAGCTTACTTAATGAAATAATACAAAAGTTATTACAAGATTAAATGACATAAATACTTATAAAGTACTTAAACACAGAGCCTGGGATTTGATGAATTTTCCAAAACATCAATAGTAGTGAATACTATTTTACATGTTTATTTGATCATGAGTTTTTTTGAGGGTGAGGACCATATACTAATCATTTTGTGTCCTGGGCATTTTATATGTGATGCTCCATGAATGCTAGTTGAATTGCATTGGTTGCCCTAGAATAGAAGTTAGGTCACTACACTTGCTTGTTTTTTTAAGAGCTTTCTACTCTCTCTCTCTCTCTCTTTCTTTTTTTCTTTTTTTCTTTTTGGTAAGAAGGAACTTCTTTTTTTTCCCCTAGTTTTTTTTTGGGGGGGGTAGGTAATTAGGTTCATTTACTTATTTACTTTTAGAGGAGATACTGGGGATTGAACCCAGGATCTGGTGCATGCTAAGTGTGCGCTCTACCACTTGAGCTATACCCTCCCCCTACACTTGCTTTTATATCTCATTTTATTTGTGGGCTTCTTTAAGACCTTTAAATAAAATGAATTTGAAGATATAAATATACAACAACAATAATAATATCCATCCCTTTGAGTCTTTTTCCTCAAAATTATCACTAACAGAAAATTAAATCTCCCCACAGGTCTTCCAGAGTGCATGAAAGCAGAAAAGATTTTTATCTTATCATGAAACTGTTACCTGAAGGACAACTACGGTTTTGTGTTGTTCAGCGAGTACGTCTCATATCATGTCTGCTCATACTTTTCCTTCTGAAGTCTATCTCTTCCCTGAAACCTGCCCGACTTCCAATTTATCAAAGGAAACCTTTCATAGCTGCCTGGAATGCTCCAACAGATCAGTGCTTGATAAAATATAACATAAGACTAAATTTGAAAATGTTTCAGGTGATTGGAAGTCCACTGGCCGGGGCCAGGGGGCAAAATGTCACTATATTTTATGTCAACAGATTGGGATACTACCCCTGGTATACATCACAGGGAGTTCCCATTAACGGGGGTCTCCCCCAGAACATAAGTTTGCAGGTACATCTGGAAAAAGCTGACCACGACATTAACTATTACATTCCTTCTGAAGATTTCAGTGGACTTGCTGTTATAGACTGGGAATATTGGCGACCCCAGTGGGCCAGGAACTGGAACACAAAAGATATCTACAGACAGAAGTCAAAAAACCTTATTTCTAAGACGCAAAGGAATGTATCAGCTGCTGACATTGAATATTTAGCCAAAGCAACCTTTGAAAAAAGTGCGAAAGCTTTCATGAAGGAAACCATCGAATTGGGAATTAAGAGCAGACCCAAGGGCCTTTGGGGTTACTATTTATATCCCGATTGCTACAATTACAATGTTTATGCCCCAAACTATACCGGGTCATGCCCGAAAGAAGAAGTGCTGAGGAACAACGAGCTCTCTTGGCTCTGGAATAGCAGTGCTGCTTTATATCCTTCTGTCATTGTCAGGAAATCTCCTAGAGGCAGTGAGAACATTCTGCATTTCTCGCAATTTCGGGTGCATGAATCCATGCGGATCTCCACCATGACATCCCGTGATTATGCTCTGCCGGTATTCGTCTACACTAGGTTAGGCTACAGAGACGAACCTTTATTCTTTCTTTCTAAGGTAAGATGCCCCTTGCCAGAAATAGGAGGATTTCCTCTTGTCTCTAAATGAGACACTTGTCTGTCAGTTATAGTCTCTGGAAAATTCCCAATTAGTTGTCCTTTAGATAGGAGCATAATTCTTCCTTTGAGCAGTCATCCACTTAGACTCTTCATTTATGCAAACTGAATCGTGATGATTTTAGGCATTACTGTTCTTCCAAGGAATGAGGTAAGGAGGGAAGGGCTTGAGATAAAATGGCAGCGACTGCTCCCTCGAGTGCCCCAAGTCTGATTGTGCTTCCTTACGACTGGCCTTTTGCAAAGGTTATTGAGATGATTGGGGGTGAACTGTTCGGAAAATCAGAGAGGAGGTTTTCAAATGGAGTAGTTTGCTCATCATACATGTGGAAGCAGAATTATAGGCATTTCTGCTTCTGGCCTCACGGTCAAAAATCTCAAGAGTGAAAAAAAAAAGTATTTTCTTTTTAATGCATGATAGATTTGACAAAACGTATAAAGGAGGCACGACAACACGAATATAGTTAACACTACTGAATTGTATACTTTGAAATAGCTAAGATAGTGTATTTTATGTGTTTTTTACTACAATTAAAATTTAAAAAAATTTTAAGGTATAAGGGAGTTATAAATCTGCTAAAAGTAGGTGACTACAGATTTAGAACTCTGGTTTATTCTTGACTCTATGACCGCAACTAATGGAAAGTTGGTAAGAGCAGTGTTAAGTTTCTAAATTCAATTATAAATTCATCATGAGTAGACGGTTTTGTAACCTGAGGTTAAAACTCACAAATAGAAGTTTTATTCTGTTGATTTTACTTCAGTCACATATGCAAAGAGCGCACAAACCATGAGGGTAATTTTTAAAATAGATGAACTTTCAGCTGAATTTTCTCTCCTTCCTTCTTCCTTTGCTACTCTAGTCACTTAAATGGAAACTTCTAGAGGTAAAAATGTAAAAGAAGATGCTACTCTAATTTTTGAACCTGGATAATTATGTGTAAACTTTCTATGATAAGACTTGAGACTGGTTTCACATTTGCGATGCAGTGGTATTTTAAGATATTGCTGCAAACTAGGGGTTGATCACCTTTCTCTTTTCTCTGCCATTGTAAGTTTCAATTCACCAGCATGTATTAAAATATAAAGACGTTCTGAGTGTGAGGTATCCAAAGGAGAAGGCTCAGGAAACACCCCGGTGAGGGCTCTGCCATAACCAGTACGTGTCTGTGGAGCAGAAAGCAGAGCTTACTCCTCAGAGGGAGAAATGGCACAAATAAATCAGGACTTGGTAAACGCTCTGCCGTCAAACACCACTGACAGGATGAGTAAAGAAAAAAAATTCTCTATTGTGAACTGATATTTATACAATCCAGAAAAATCAGCAACAAATGACAGAATGACAGGAAACCAATACTAACTGGAAAGTTTAAAAAAGTTACCTAAATCTTTACAAAATGGTCTTTATTCTAGACTTGAAAGTTAAACACCATCTTCCTCTATGAAACTTATTCTGTATTTGGCTCAATCAAGTTCCTTTGTTCAGTGATAACAAATTTACTTTTGGAAGAAACAATAAACTTTAAGGGACAAAGTGTTCATTTCAAAAGATTAAACTACTGGTACATTCTGCACATTCTGCACATTCTGCAAACTAAGGGTAAGTGCCTTCTTGAAAAGCTACAGCCTCAGAAATGCTTCTGTTATGACGAAGGAAAGAAGGAACAGTTAGGGTCTCACCCAGAAACAGTTTTCTTTGTCAGCCCCATGGTTTCATGCTGCAAACTTTCTGAACTTAAGGGATTTCCACATGTTTTGCACCACTAGTTTGCCACCATTTTTAATTCTATCCACCATAAAAATCTGTCCACAAATTTTTAAAAACCTGGTATTTACCTATACCAAACTGTCAATACTAGTAATGCCTTCCACTTCTGCCTTCCCAGAGATATCCACATTTTAGAATGTGTGTGTGTACACACATATAATTAGGATTAGAAAAACAATTTACCACTAAGTAGCAAACCTCTTCACCTCTCCGGACCTCAGTGCTGCATTGTCTTAATCTACAAAACAGCACAATGTTACGTGCCCTACCGACGTGGAAATACTGAGAAGATAGAAATAAAAATGTGAAGCACTACAGAAGTACCCGTGGTAGAGCTCTTGCCTTTAAACAAGAATCAGAGCCTTAAACTTGCAAGGGGAATACATAAGAATGAAATTGCAGTCAGTAGCCATGGCGGGGGGGAATTCTATGGGACCTGTAAAGCCTCATTTCACACAAAAGATTGCTCACACCACTGACATATAAATGCAGGGTAGATATCACTTGATGCTACGCTTTAAAAAATAATGAAAAGTAGAAAACAAACTTACAGTTACCACGAGGGAAAGGGGGTGGGGAGGGATAAATTGGGAGTTCGAGAGTTGCAGAAACTAACTACTATACTTAAAATAGATAAACAAGTTTCCACTGTATGGCACAGGGAACTGTATTCACTATCTTGTAATAACCTATAGTGAAAAAGAATATGAAAACAAATATATGTATGTATATGTATGACTGAAACATTATGCTTTACACCAGAAATTGACACAACATTGTAAACTGACTATACTTCAGTAAAAAAAAAAAAGAAAGAACAAAATAATGACAGGGATTTTCTTGAATGTACATTTAGAGGTGTTTTCTCCAGTAATTAGTTAATATTCCCTCTGGCAACACACAAAGGGAGCTCACCAGTGATGCTCCAGTTCCCCACTGTGGGCTCCTTACTTACATGCACTGTAGTGAAGTAGCGAGGACTGAAACCCAGCTGTACAGAATGAGTCCTCTGGGTGCCCCTCCTTTCTACTTCCAAAACCTTGATGTGAGTTGAGAGCCATAGGCAGGGCAAAGCAGCCTTACACTGTGCTGGGACCTGGAGGATTTGCTTCTATGACAGTGTGTGGTGTTCCTTTATTTCTCCTTTCATGTAACGTCACTCATGTGGCTCATGCTCTCAGGTGGTCCCAGTTTACCCCTAGAGGCATCTTACCTGTGACCACCCCCCCTCACTGAGTAGTGCCCTTGCTTTTTTGGCCCCCCAAACAGAAATGTTCTGTGATTCATTCAACACTCAGCTCTCAGCAAGGTGACAGTGAGTTAATTTGGTAGAGGAATTTGCCTTAATATCTGCTAAGGACTCCTTACCTCTAGTCAACACATATAGAAGACTTGCCATTTTGAATCAGTCCCAAGAAACCCTCTGATAATGACACTAAAGTACACACTGGAAAGAAATTAACACTCCCTCCTGATACCAGCCCCAGAAGGTGTGGCTTCCACCACAGACATTTGGGGTTGCCTTACTGCATATGGGTCAATAACCTATAAATACAAAGTGTAAATGCTTTGTCTCTCTCATTCCTCTGATGACAAATCTCTAACCCAAAGAAATTCGTGGGCAATTTCTTGTTTCCAGCTCAGCATGTAAGAAGCTTGGAAGTTGCCACTCAGTCCTAACAAGCAAAAAACTAAACCAACCAAAAAAGTCAACTCTTCTTAGATTAATAAGAGAAATGTGGACACAGGGCAGATTGCTGCCCTCAAAACTGGAGAGACAGACAGGTGAATACTGAGAACCACAGCTTCCCAGATCAGAAACCATGAGCAGAAACCTCTGCGGGAACCACTGCCAGAGTAGGGAAACCTGAACTGTAATTGGGAAACTGCTGGCAGCTCAGCGTGGACAAGCCTGAGAGAAGAAAACTGCACAGGGACTCAGTCATGGGGCAGGGGGGAAATGCTTCTGTGAGTTTTACCTCCCCCAGGAGCTCAGCAGGTCCTCACAGTGAACACTGGAGAACACCTTCTCGTGCACCTAGCAGGAGGAGGAGAACAGGAACCATCTCGAGCCCTCGAAAGCATTCTGTTCTGTGGGCAAGGTCTGCCCTCAGAAGAAACAATTTAACAAGAGTCAGACCCACTGAGGTTTTATCAGAGCCTAACTGACCTGGGGGAAGGAAATACTCCGCTCCAGCTCGCTCTAGTTTTCCACTTGGAACAAAGGAAATACCCAACTCTAGCCCCATCTAGTGAGACTCTCCCACCTAAGCAGGCTGGGACAGGAGGGGGGACAGCTGAGAAGCACTTGTGAAGTTCACAGTCCAGAGGCGCAGACTCACTCAAAGACTGAGACCTACTCCCAAAACTGGAACTCGTCCATCCCCTGCCGACCTGACTAGCATGGTACTAAAGGCCTGTTTATAGCAGTTCCTTTTACCCAGCCAGATAGCTATCTGCCTGTCAGGAAAAAATTAAATCACGTCTAGCTATCAAGAAAAAAATTACAAAACGCATCTTGCAGAGACAGAGCAAGCATAGGAAGTAGACTCAGAGATAGCAGGGGTGTTGGAATGATCAGATCAGGAATTTAAAACAACTAAGATTAATAGGCTAAGGGCTCTAATGGACAAAGTAGGATGGACGTAAGAATAAATGGATAATGTCAGCAGAGAGATGGAAATTCTGAGAAAGATCTGAGAAGAAATGCTAGAGATCAAAAGCCCTGTAGCAGAAATGGAGGATGTCTATGATGGGAGTTCCGCTTACACTAGCTTACACTGTCTTATTTGAGCCTCACAATAACTCTTCCCCTCCTGTCACGTCAGCAGAAACTATGGTTGTGGGAAATGGAAATAGATGTGAGCCTGAAAGGAAATTAGTTTAAACCAAAAACCTCTTCCTTTTTTTGAAAATTATCAGAAAATTGCCCAGAAAAAAGAAACTTTAAAAACTGATACTGTAAAACCTTTCATTTGGGTGGACTATGAAGTGTCAGGTAAGGAGATTTCTCTTTCAAGTACTGATATTCATATAAAATGTCCAAGGCAAAATACAGTTTAAAGTTCTGCTTTTAATTGCCACCAAATCACCCAATTACATTTTCCAGCGTATAAGTGCCGGAAATTCAGCTTTGGAGTAAAAGGTGAATGCTTAGTAGTCTAAAGAGTGGGAGGATATATTATAATTTAACAAACTTATTTAGAAAACCAACTGCAGAAACTTAATTTAGGAAACCAGCTGTACGCATTCAACTTTTAATTTCCCTCTAAAATGACCTAGATTCACGTTAACCTTTAAACACTAAAACAATAATCCTTTAGGATTACAAAACCATCATTCTCCCTGCTGAAATTTTGTTTTCATCTATCTTAACCATATTGAGAAAAATCCTGGTGACCTTATCGTGACTGGATGAATCACAAATAAAGCCCATTAAGTCAGGTACTTTGAAATTAAATACAAATAATTTCAGGGACCAAATATAAGGGCTGGAGCAAATCAGATCCTTCAGGCCCTTAACACTGTGTTCCTTTGCCTAATATTGGAATCCAAATCACAAAATCCCTTCAATCACTGCAGAGGTGAAGTTCTCAGGAGAGGGTTGTAAGCTGGAAAGGGAACTCAGCTAAGACTGAATGCAAGGCATTCCTCATATTTGGAGAAGGAAAACTTTCGGATTCTCTTTCAGGTCCTATACTTATAGCTGGTTTGTGTGTCTGTGCCCCCTGTCAACTTCGACTAAACACCTTTTGGTGGCTATTTACAGGCTAACTGTCTTCAAAATAATATCCTGTTTGGGAAAACATGAGTTTAAAAAATACATATTTAATATGTCTTTCCATATGATTATAGAGTGTAATTTCTGAGCCTTGGTTCATTTAACATTTGCATTACTCTCAGAAACTGGAAAATAATTTCATCCTATTACATTGAATTTAGCTTCCAACCCTAATCCCTGGCAGGTTGCTTTATATGAATAATGACCTCTACCCTCTCCAATCTAGCAAGACCTCATCAGTACTGTTGGAGAAAGTGCTGCCTTGGGAGCTGCGGGCTTTGTTGTTTGGGGAGACATGAACTTAACTTCATCCGAGGTAAGACAGGACCTTGGCGGCATAGTTCATATTATGTACAGTGTCTGTTCTCCTATAGAACTCACTCTATTCCAATCTAAACTTGCGTTAGAATTAAAGCTCAAATTAGCGCCTGATATGTAGAAGGAGCACGATGAAGATTAACTTTTGTTAAGACAGTAATCATAATACTGACATTTGTTGAATATTTACTATATGCTTGGATTGTGTCAAGTGCGTTTTTGTTTTGGATTTGCTCGTTTATTGATTGTAATAACCCCCATGAGGTAGGGACTAGCATCCTTTTTATAGATGAGGAAGCAAGAGAGGAAATCTAACTAGGGTAACAGGCTAGCTAGCAGTGGAGCAGGCACTGACCACAGGCAGTCCGACTCTGGAATTCTTTCACTTAACCATTGCACAAAATGTGTGAGATCGTATTTTGAGAAGTAGAAACAGATGGTAATTTTTAATATCTGCATTGAACTGATTTTTCTTCTATGGAGAAATTAGCTGAAAATTAATAACATTTAAAATAAGATTTATGTCTCTTCAAATTTCTCCCAGCTCAAATATTATCTACTCCAGTTTTCCCCAGTCTACATTCATCACAATCTCTTCTATATTTTCAGCTGTTGTTTGTTTTTCTCTCTACAGTGTCATGCATTTTGCCTTGAATTGTAATACTTGTATTTGAACGCTTTTTGTTAAATTGAATTTTTTGCAAGTTCATGGTGATCTGATATTCTTAGAATTTCACAGGCGCGAATTGTTGCTACTGAGATATCATTCATGAAACTATTTGTGACAACATAAGGTTAGAAGTCTACTTCGTGCACATGTAAGAATTAGGTAGAAACTGAGAGGATCAATTCCCGATTCTCCCAGTGTGATATTTCCCCTCCAGCCCAGGTGGCTCAAGAGAAGAGTGTCATCAGGAAAGGAAGCTAAGTGCACAAACCAGGTGGCTTCTGTTTAGAACACGCAATAGGAACCACACACACATGCACAAGCACACACACGAATGACCTGGGCAGCCTCCCAAGCTTTGCTGTGTTTGAATTGTATACAGGAGGTTAGACCCCAGGGCAGCTGATAGCTGAGCATAATCAACAGGAAAATCCAAAAGGCTACAGGTTGACGGTCAACAATAATTTGGTAGAACGTGATGATTCAGGTTCTAACACAACCCTGAGAGGTACACATACCTGAAAGGTGGCCAGAGGACAGTAGCTCTGGCACAATTTCTAATTTGGGTTTGTTCCTCTTTTCTTTACACCCATTCATTTGGGAGCTAGAAGGAAATTAAACAAGGATGCATATTGGAAGAAGGCAAGGTCGCATATGTTGACTCCGGGGCCCATGGGCAAATTCAGTTACTAGGCCTACGAGAACATGCTCTCCATCTCCTGCCTCTTCCACCTCTTAACCCTTTCTGGTCTGGGTCTGGGTGTTAATAGCACCTGAGCCTAAGAGTTCATGGGCTGGAACCAAGCCATTCAGTTTCAATCAAGTCCAAGAGCTGCTTTGTGGGTCTAGATGCCCTAACCCTATCAGTATCAGAAAACAAACCAAAAAACCCCAAAACACTAAAATCTCCTTGTTTCTACATTTCTAGGTCAACTGTACAAAGGTGAAGCGGTTTGTGAGCTCCGACTTTGGGAGGTACATAGTCAACGTGAGCAGAGCCGCTGAGGTGTGCAGCCATCACCTCTGCAGGAATAACGGGAGATGCGTAAGGAAGGTGTGGAAAGCTCCTCATTACCTTCACTTGAACCCTGCAAGCTACCACATAGAGGCCTCCGAGGATGGAGAGCTCACTGTGAAAGGACAAGCATCTGATACAGACCTGGCGCTGCTCGCGGAGAGATTCTCCTGTCATTGTTATCAGGGATACGAAGGGGCCGACTGCAGAGGAATGAAGATGGCTGATGGCAGCTCTGGGGTTTCCTCTTTTTCTGCCTCACTAATAACACTGTGTCTGCTGGTTTCAGCTGGTTCTCAGCACATTCAGTAGTGAGATAATTGAGTTTAAAGGGAATTGTGTGGCCTCTAGAGGCATCACTTAGGGAAGAGATGAAACTGATGACAATTTTTTTTCTCATATGAAGTCCATTCGGAGGTGTCATAATTAGCATTAGGTATGTCGCTTAACATAAACAGGAACTATTGCTTTATTTGGCTGCGACTGGGCTAAGAAACCAGATCCAGGAGTAAAACTCAATGCACTCTTCTTCCTTACTGGAATGTTTAAGTTGTAAACCTATTTAACCTACAGCTAATATATTTTCAGCTTCATATGAACGTATATACATGAAAGTACACATATAAATATTATGTTATTGATTTCAAAGACTGGATTCCAGCTAGCAGTTTACTTAAGGACCAATTACTAAGTAATTATCTGATTGAACAAATGGGATCACCTCAGGGTGTGACGCGGTCACCTGGTCCACCAAAGAGGACCGAAGGCAGAGTCCCTGTTACAGCCGTAGGTTCAAACTTCTTCAGGTCTGGGCTGAAAGTGTGCAGAACCAGCTCCTGACATGACTTCTAATGAGAGGGGAGCTGTAGTCTACTCATGGTAAAGGCATCGATTCCAATATGGCGCCCCCTCCCCCACCGTGAGTCCCTCCCTCACAGATACTGGCAACTCTAGGTACAGTGAAAGGCTCCAGGATAGTATTCGTGCTTCCTAGGTTGACATTGCCCTAGATGTAGAAACTAGAGCCATGTTGATTAAAATGTGATTGGTGTCTTTTGCAAGCAAAAACCATTACTAAAACAATATTTTAATAAATGACGTTTAAGGGACTCAGAAGTGCTATTGGGAAGGGGATCCTACCAAGAGATAGTTGAGATTTTGGTCCCCATGTATGAGTTTTGAGTAACGGTTTTGGAGTAGGTTTGAATCTAATTTCAATCATTGTTTCACTATCTGTCTGGTTGTGTGATTCTGAGCAAGTTATTTATATTCCCCATTTTCTCATCTGAAATCTGATAATATAGTTCCTACCTCTGTGAATTACTCTGAGAAATAAATGAAATAATACATCTCATGCATATTTGGCTTAAGACATGTTGCTAATCTTCAACTATCTTCCCTTGATCACCAAAGTAATGGAAACACTTTGGATAAAACAGAGTCTTGGGCAGTTTCCTCTTTCTGATGTTATGTTGTATTTATAGTCACTTGTGCATGTGTTCTCTTGAGAGGCAGGGTTCAATTGATAGGATTTCCTTCTCCTGGAGATGATCTACTTGGAAGATAAACTCAAGACAGGTATGATGCTATTATAGAAGGCATGAGGATTGATTCAACCTCCTCCTTTGCCTCTTTTGTCTTTCTGTGAAACATTTGCAATACAGGTGTGCCCTTTTCAACTCTGGGTCCCTGCGTGTTAGTGGTTACTAACATTGTGAAGGTCTGATTTCTAAATGTAAAATACAAACAAAACAAAACATTTTTATAATACCATAAAAGAGAGATAGCATTGCATAGATTAACTTTTTAAAAATGAAGTTCATTTTCATATCAAAGATGATATAAGCACATTATAGAAAAATTTATAAAATAGAAAAAATAATCACTATAACATATCCTGGTAACTTTTGGTGTTTTTCTTTCTAGCTTTTCTTCTGAAGACTTTTTAAAAACATGGTTGTAAATAATAATGTGCATATTTTTGCGTCTTGTATTTTTCACTTAACCATATCTTATAAGTAGTTTTCATCCTTATTTCAGTCTTCATAAATATAATTTAAACATTTTTAAGGTCACATAATAGTCTATCAACTGGATATAACAAAATATAATTAACAATTTTTCTAACTTTTGATTTTTAAACATCAAACATTCACTATTTAGTCACTTCATCAGAGAAGAGTTTTCGTATCACCTTCCCGATTCATCCATTCGTCTATTAATCAATTCGTACACTAATCAATTTATTAAACATTCCTTCTTACCAGACACTGTCCTAGGCTTTGAAATATATCCTTGACCTAAGCAAAGAGCCTTGCCTTCTTATGACTTATATTCTTGCTGGGGGGAACAGACATTCAACATACAAATAAGCAATTAATATCCGATGTTTAGATCCATGGGAAAGAATATGGAGAGCAGAGTTGGGGAGGGTGGGATTTTCCATGTGTTGGATCATGTGGTAATTCTATTTTTAGCTTTTTGAGGGACCTCTGTACTATTTCCCATAGTGGCTGTACCAATTTACATTCCCACTGACAGTGTACAGGGGGTTCCCCTTTTCTCCACATCTTCACCCAACATTTGTTATTTGTAGACATTTTGATGATAGCCATTTTGAAGGTGTGAGGTGATATGTCATTGCAGTTTTGATTTGCATTTTTCTAATAATTAGAGATGCTGGGCATCTGTTCATGTGCCTGTTAGCTGTCAGTACGTCTTCTTTAGAAAAATGTCTATTCAAGCCTTCTACCAATTTTTTTTTATTATTTTTTGATATTGAGTTGTATGAGCTATTTATATATGTTGGATATTGACCCTTCATAGGTCATATCATTTGCAAATGTTTTCTCCCATTTCATAGGTTGTCTTTTCATTTTGTCAGCGGTTTCCTTTGCTGTGCAAAAAAGCCTTTACATTTAATTAGGTTCTATTTGTTTATTTTTGCTTTTATTTCTTTTGCCTTAGGAGACAGATCCAAAAAAATTTTTTGCTAGGGTTTTTGTCAAAGTGTTTTCTGCCTACTCTCATGTCACTAATCTTCTTAATTATACCAAATAGACATTTTTCACCTTCCATCTGTTTTAAAAGTAGAATAATAAACTACTTTTTTATTCTTGAAAAAAAAGTGTTTTCTGCCTATATTCTCTTCTAGGAGTTTTATGGTTTTAGGTCTTACATTTAGGTGTTTAATCCATTTTGAGTTTATTTTTATATGTGGTGTGAGGAAATGCTCTAAGATCACTGTTTTACATGTGGCTGTCCAGTTTTCCCAGCACCATTTGTTAAAGAGACTGTCTTTTCTCCACGGTATATTCTCACCTTCTTTGTCATAGATTAGTTGACCATAGGTGTGTGGGTTTATTTTTGGGTCCTCTATTCTGTTTTTGTACCAATACCATGCTGTTTTGATTACTGTAGCTTTGTGGTCTGAAGTCTGGGAGGGTGATACTTCTAGCTTTGTACTTTTTTCTCAAGATTTCTTTGGCAATTCAGGATCTGTTGGGGTTCCATATGAATTTTAGGACTATTTGTGAAAAAGCTTCATGGGTATTAAAATAGAGACTGCATTCAATCTACAGATGCTTTGGGTAGTATGGCCATCTAAACAATATTAATTCTTCCAATCCAAGAGCATGAGATATCTTTCATTTCTTTGTATCATCTTCAGTTTCCTTCATGCTTTATACTTCCCAATGTTTTATAGTTTTCAGAGTATAGGTCTTTCACTTCCTTGGTTAAGTTTTTTCCTAGGTATTTTATTATTTTTAATGTGATTTTAAACAGGATTTTTTTTGTTACTTTCTATTTCTGATAGTTCATTGCACCAAATTTCTTTTTTCTGATTTATAGAAAAATATAACCCACAAGTATACTGATTTGGGTATCACACAGTCAGTGGTTTTTTTGACCCTATGGAAGAAAAACTGTTAAATTAACCCATCTACTAGCAAGGCATCTTTAGAACTCATACTTTAAATATCTAAATATTATTTACCAATAAAAGAAACTAGGATCTCTTAGGAAAATGTCTGATTCCAGGTCTGAGACATGAAATGTACAAGATGCGTCTGAAATATCTTATTATACTATAAAGCAAGGATGCCATGAGGGGTCACTAAGATTAAATCAAAAGTACTCGCTAGCCAACTCAGAGACACTGCCAAAGATGGGAAAGTTAGAGAATCATTTAAGAAATAACTGCAATGGACTGAAACATCAAATATATTTAAATCCATGAGATCAAAATGATACCAAAGAAAGGCTTTCATAGGTCACCTCTGAAGAGTGTTATGGAACCAACTCCTTACCCTGAAACCTGGTAAATAAAGAGCAGGAATCAACCATTTATTATACATTTCCTGTGTGAACTACAGGTGACCTTGAATAACAGGGATTTGAACTGCATGGGTCCCACCTGTTATGTGGATTTTTTTTTCACTAAATGTACAGTTGGCTCTCCAAATTTGCAGATTTCACATCTGAGGATTTAATCAACTGCAGATCAATATTTCTGTCTGAGATTGGTTGAACCCCCATATGTGAAACCAGAGAATAGGGAGGGCTGACCATACTACACCACTCTACATAAGGGACTTGAGCATCCTGGGATTCTGATGTACACAGGGGCTCCTGGAAACAACCCCTATGCTGATACTGAGAGATGACTATGTATAAATCTCAGAGTAACCAAACAGTGGGGGAGGGAAATTTTCTTCTTATTCAAACCAATAAATGAGGAAGGTGTGATAGAATTAGAATATAACTATTTTGCAATTCCTAATGAATTAATAATGGATCTAGGCATGATCCTCAGAGGCCGCTAACATAACAAAAAGAGATAAAACCAGACATCATATATTACCTAATCACAATATGGAGCACAGCTACGACTAAATCCTTCCAGAACTCAAACTGAAATGTGATCATGCCTGTACCAATTCACAGGGAAATGGAGAACAACATGTCAGGGATGTAATGATCAAAATTCAGATCCTCGTGAATGCTACAGGACAAATAACCTAGTTTTACCAACAAATAAATTGAAAAAGAAAAAAAGAGGAGAAGGAACCCATATGTATATCAATGTAGGGCTTCTTAAACGAATTATAGTACATCTGTACAATGGGATAGCATTCAGCTTAAAAAGGAATGAGGAAGTTCTCTGTATGCTGTTGTCAAAAGAAGTCTAAAATACAAACATCTTGTTTAGGCTTTATTTTGACTTCTCTCTAATCGAATTGAGGAAAACTCAGTCTTACACATTTGAAGTATATTTCCAGTTACATTTAAAAATTTTTATTGTTTTATTT